TGAGATACACTCTGGTCTCCTGCAATACCCTCAGGCTTACTAGGATTGGGAAACACCAGCCCTGGTAAATCTGAGGTCAGATCGGTACTCTGCTCTCGAACCCTGTTTTCTGTTAAGATGTTTGTCGATACAATATGTGCACCACTGAACACAGACCCTTATCAGGAATTTCTGATTTTGTTCTGGTCCTGTTACCTCAGAAGCATGTGATCTTCTCCCTATTCATACACCCCCTCCCCATTTAAAATCCCAAATAAAAACTCGCTGGTTTTGCAGCTCAAGGGCATCACAGACCTACCGGTATGTGATGTCACTCCCAGAGGACCAGCTGTAAAATTCCTCTCTTTGTACTCTTTCTCTTTATTTCTCAGACTGGCCGACACTTAGGGAAATTAGAAAGAACCTACACTGAAATATTGGGGGCTGGTTCCCCCAATATTAAGTTATTTCATTGTTTATGAAAGAGTAAATCATCGTGTTCAAATTTTATTAATAAAAATATTGATTTCTTACCCAATAGCAAGGAATGTGAGACACTGGGTTGTATGAGGCAGTAAATTTTTTATTAGTTCATGTAACTAGGGGAAACACCAGAAGAAATATAATAATGGGCTTATTATATGCAGTAGACACCATCAAATGCTTAATAATTTTTTCTCAACTTTTAAGGTAAAAAAAAACTTCTACAAGCTCCAACAAATTCCCAAATAATTATCAATATATTAGATGGGACCATGAAGATAACAGATTAAAACTAAAATTGCCACTCTAAATATTCCTAGGTCAGTGCTTCAATGCACCATGAATCAAAATGTTGCAATACTGTAGAATGTGCTGATAATTGAATCCTTCCTAAAGAGGGAGAAGGTAACTGCCAGAGAGGCTTTCTTGGCTTAGCAAAGATATATATTAGATAACTGGCTGCTATAATTTATTACAGAAAGCAAGTATGGGTGTTGTGTGAAATAATTTTCTGAATTATTAAAAGTTTTGATCATTTCATACTTCATTGTCAATAGTTTTTAACTCTCATGTCATAACTGAGATGATTGAACTCAATAGACTCTTCCAGGAGGCTTAAATGGAGTCAAGTTCAGGTGCTGGAATGAGTGGGACATGGACAACAGTCAGGTCTAATTCCCCCTCTTAGTTTGATCAGTGGCTGCTCAGACTAGTCAATGTTTGTGTTGAACCAAGGGGTCAACATTTTGACGATCACCTCTCAGTCCAGCCTTACCCACTTACATCTTCTAGACCTACTTTGCTATTTATACCTATTGACCTCCCATTTGCACCTTTAATAGTAGTTACAAATATTAATATTTAGCTTAAATTATAATTTCCAAGAGCAGAAATAGATACAATTGACCATTGAATAACACAGGGGTTAGAGACACTGACCCCTGTGCAAGTCAAAAATCTGCATATAACTTTTGACTTCCCCAAAACTTAACCACTAATAAACTACTGTTGACTGGAAGCATTACCAATAACAGAAACTGTTGATTGACACAGGTCTTGTATGTTATATATGTTATATACTGTATTTTACAATAAAGTAAGCTAGGGAAAAGAAAATGTCATTAAGAAAGTCATAAGGAAGAGAAAATACATCTACTATTCCTTAAGTGAAAGTTGAGCATTATAAAATCTTCATCCTCATGTCTTCACATTAAGTGGGTTAAGGAAGAAGAGGAGACGTCGGTCTTGCTCTCTCAGGGGTGGCAGAGGCAGAAGAAAGTTCACATATGAGTGAATCTACACAGTTCAAACCTGTGTAATTCAAGGGTGAACTCTATACTACGTATGTATATTATATGTAAATATGTATATTATATATTTATATATAATTTCCTTTTTGTTACTTACATTGACCATCTGCATTGCAAACTTTTCTGTAGAGTTATGCTCATGTGAACGAAGCTGTTTTACACCTTTTAGACTTTTTCATGGTGAGGGTAATTGAACGTAAAATAATTAGCTTCTGTAATTCTAATGAAGATAATGTCAGCAATGTAGTTAAGATTTCTGGTTAGTTCATCATAAATGCAAACTCTTATGATCACTTATGTCATGCTCTAAATTAATCAGATGGGACACCTGCTTTCCCTTAAGGTGTTCATATATTGTGATTAAATAGAAAAGCATATGCCCGAGGGAAAACTTGCTGGCCTACTAACCTATATTTGGGAGTCATGTTCATTGATGAGCTTAAAAATCCCTTGATAGCCAACAATAATCTGCATTTTTTCCAAATGTTCTGACAAGTCAGTTTCCTGTCATCTGTTTGGTGCTCTGGCTATGTGCTGCTCGTGTCACTCCTCACAGGCCACACGTATACACTGGTCTAGGACGCTGCCACTCCCCACGTCTGCCCCGATAACCGTTTCTGTCTCAATGGTAGTTCCTGTTAATACTACAAAAATGGAAATCGTCAGTGTGGGCAGGCTGCCGTATGGAGGTTCAGTCAGATTAAGACAAATGCACATAGGCAATGTGAGAGCAAAAAAAATAACAATTCAGAAGAAAACTTTGTTGTTTGCGATTGGTATCTTTTCCAGGATTTTTAGAAATAGAGTATCTGTTTTAAAGATTGTTTTGTAAGCAGGTACACTTGAGCTGGTATTGATATGAAGCAAACCAAAAAAGAGTAGTTAAAGTAACCTTTAAAACGTTGTCTTTCCAATGTTGATGCTTGGCCTCTGGCCACAGTGTTTAATCTAACATGACTCATTCTCCCCCATCCCACCTCGTATGTAGAACACCTCTGCAAGGTATCTTTCAAAATAACAAATGAAGACCCTTACTTTGTGAAAAGGGAAATAATGTTGAACAAATTGTAAAAATGTGTTTTAAGAGACTGCATAACACGCCAAGAAAAAAAGAACAGAATTTTCCAACCCACTGAAAGATAGCACACCACCATCAATAGCCAAGCTCATGAATAAATAAATATTTACAACATATACATATGCATATCAAGGCGAGGCTACACTACAGGAACTCAGAATCTGTGGAAAACATTTATGCAGTGCACATACAGTAGCAAACAGAGGCACTAAAAAGGAAATAATTTTCAAGCACGGTCAACACGTTTAAAGTTTTTCAGTAACTTAACTGGCCTTTCCAAAACACACAGAATTCTTTTAACAATATGAAATATGTTGCTATGATTGCTTGTTCCTGAACTTAACTCAGTCATATCCTCATCACACGGCAGAGCTAGCAAATTTCTAGCTGAGCTAGTTAGAGTACATTGGAAAAAGTGGTCATATGTTCAAAGACGAAACATTTCAGACTTGATTTACAAATGAAATCAAATGCATCTGTATTCAAAGCTGTGTGGAATGAATACATGCTTAGGAACACACACAAGCATTTTAAATAAACCTTTCTGAATAGGTTAACAACTTTGCTAAAATCTTGTAGCTATCTTTCTCACGGGTAACTACAGCTCCAAAGATTACTGCTTAAGTTCAACATAGGAAATTAAACTTTGACATGCTATAGGTACTGACCATATGTAAGAAATACAAGTTAACACTCCTGACATCAATAACACCATACATCTCTAGATCCTAAGCTACTAAAGGCCGGCATGCAGGCTAACATAAATAACAGCTTGCGGTTTGCAAGAAAAAGAATCCATTGATAACATTAGGAAATATAGTAATGTGATGGCATAATTTACAAGGCCTGAAGATAATTTGCAGCACCATTCCTCTGGGTGGATCTGCACCAATCAACTAAGCTAAGTGCCTGTTGGAACTTTTCCCTCAAAGGTACAGCAGGCAGAAGATTTGTAATATATTTAATGCCACAAAAGGAGAAGCAGAAAGATCAAACTGATGGGGCTTGGGTATTTAGAAAATCCCGCTGAGATATTGTGGTACATTTTTAAAACTTCTTGTTCATAATGTTCATGCTTCTCTTGAACCTCAGATGATAAACACTGACAGGAAAGAAATGGTAGGGGAGACCCACAAAACATTTTTACAGCTAAGATAAAAACATTAGGTAAAAATAATGCTTCTGCAAAGCAAAATCCTCAGATATATCTCCCATCAAGATTTTTCTCCAAATATACAAACGGTGTCCAGAAAGTCTCTCACGGGATACGTCTGCAGCACCGTTCTGGCCCAGCATTCACAGAACACACAGTCTGCAGCACCGTTCTGGCCCAGCATTCACAGAACACTTACCTTGATAACTTGTGTTTATATAAACACATGGCAGTCTGCAGCACCGTTCTGGCCCAGCATTCACAGAACACACAGTCTGCAGCACCGTTCTGGCCCAGCATTCACAGAACACATACCTTGATAACTTGTGTTATATAAACAAATGGCATTCGGGGAAGCAGAACCAACTGAACTTTACAGAAAGGTTGATTCAAAGTCTCAAAAATTCTCTCCCATCTCAGGATAATTTTTCAACAGCAGAAGAAAATGTATTACAACACTTCAAAGTACGGAAAGGCTTCTTCTCATTCAGCAGACTTTTTTCCAATAAAGTTAATGCAATTTATCTTTATTAACACATCAACACTGATAGAGTCAGCCAGAAAATTAGTGTTGGTGGCACTGCATTTCATAACATGCCCTTTCTCAGACATCCCTCTGATCATTTCACAAAATCTGCCAACAATTCAGGGATCTAACATATTCAGAACCCATTTCTTTTTAAAATACTGCAGCTTCCGAAGGAGAACGCATATATTCTTGCACTAGAGCAGCATGCATCTGCTCTTATAGTCTCCCTGCTGGAAACGATCATTGTAATGCTTTGAAAGCCCAGAAAACCAAACATTGCAAAAACATATTGATATCGAGTACAGAGAAAATTCTTCTTTCTAGCTACCTGCAACACAGATCCCCTTTCCTGAAATAAACCTGATTTCAAACAGAAGCAGCTCCTTCACCCTCAGCTGTCCTTAAGTTAGCATTAACTGGCCTTGATAACTCCATTTAGATCTTTAACACAAAACTTTCATCACTCACCCCCCTTCCAAGGTTTTCCTTTCCAGGGGGTCCGGGTCAGCTTGCTCAGAGTTGGTCCAGAGAAGAACAGGATCAAAAGGAAGAGAAGTTCAAGCCTAGTAATTTTCTCCACTTTCTCTGATGATAACATTTCCACAAGCTAATTTCACAAAATTCCTCACATCCTCTTCCCTCCTGGTTATGAAAATAGCATTAATCATTGAAAAACCTGAGGTAGGTGTTGTTTTGCCATCTTTAACAGCTGAAGTAGCAGCTTCCTGATGTAGCCCTGAGCCAAGCTACATTTCTCACGGATCCGGCTCCTTCTCCTCAGTACGCAGTCAGCCCTGCTTCTACTCCAGAAGCTATAAAATAATTCTGTTCTCCACTTTGCTTTCAGTGGGAATATATTCCTCAGCGTTCTGGGTGAGCTTGATTGAAAATGATAAAAACAGTAGTGTCTGTGTCCAGCAGAAAAGGGAAAAGATGTCAGGATTATGTGCAGAAGATGAGAAGCAGTTGTACTGACAGCTTTCAGGCTGCCTGTGTGATCCTAATAGCCGTGCAACCAACCAAATTGCTCTTTTAAGAGTAATAAGGCTTCAGTGAAAGCCGGTGTCACCGCCACTTGGGTGGGTAGTGCTGGGCTTGAAAACCACCCAGGAACCGCCACAGATAACGACTGCTTCAGTTCAGCTTCAGAATATTAAGGGCTGAGCAAAATATAGTATGCACAGAGGGTAGTTAATCTATTGTGTGGATAGACGAGGATTCGGGTAATGTAGCACAGAAAGATTCAGAACTTAAAATGTATTTTATTTTTTCTTTACTTCACCTCGTGACATTCAAAGGGGATTGCATCTGCACTAATGATTCATAAATGGGTCTGAAATATTTATTAGAGGAACAACAGTAAGTATATAATTTTTCTCCCCAGCAATAAAACAGGAAGGGCAAGTTCTCAATATGTAGCTACAGCTCTCTTCTGTATTAAATGAAGTCAGTTTGCTTTGGCATTCCTGTGTCACCCTAATGAACCCACCATGAATGCCACAAGCAAACTCTGGAAAGACCAACATAGACTGCCAAGGCTTTCTTGAATGTGTTAATCACACATTCAGGAAAGCACATTTTTATTTGTTTGTGTACATCACCATGGAAATACAAAAGGCTCCCCAAGCCTTCCTGTCTTTTGCGACTATATTTATGCAGACATTACTGGTCACAAGGTGTGGTTATAATTAACACATGACAGTGCCCCTGGATGAAGATGACGTGGGTGAAGGCGTACATAGAAAATCAACTAGTTTGGTTTTGTCTGGCACAGTGGCTCACATCTGTAATCCCAGCACTTTGGGAGGTCAAGGTGGGAGGATAGCTTGAACCCAGGAGTTTAATACCAGACTGGGCAACATAGTGAGACCCCCACCTCTACCAAAAAAAACCCAAAAATTATCCATGCATGGTGGTACATGCCTGTAGTCGCAGCTACTCAGGAGGCTGCGGCAAGAGGATCACTTAAGTCTGGGAGGTGGAGGCTGCAGTGAGTCATGGTCATGCCACTGCACTCCAGCCTGGGCGACAGAGCAAGACACTGTCTCAATAATAATAATTAATGAAAATAATAGAATCTTTACCACCTGAAGTGAATTGGCATGATCAAAACATTCTGGCTAGTATTTTAAATCTGTCTACATGTTAGTATTATACATATGGTCACTTATTTCCTTAATCAGTGAGCCACAATACATGAATTATGCACTTATGTATTTTAAAGTAATCAATTTCTATATTATGATAACCACCAGTTTTATGATGTGATCATTTTCAAAAGGGAATAAATTACCACTTTCAAATCATACTCTTGGAAGAGGTACCTTTAGAAGAGAAAGTTACCTTGTTAAGCCATGTGATAAATTTGAAAATATAGTTATTACAATTTGCTTTTATAAAAAGGAAACAATGTTTGTCAAAAAAATGAATGGAACATACAAAATAAACTCTCAGATTGTGCCTTAGTTTAGAAACAATAATCACCCTGTATTCAACTTTTCATCTGAAAACTTCTGTGTGAGGAAGGAAAAACGTATGCCCATTTTATAAATAGTGGATTTAAAATTCCATGTCTTTGCATACTTAAAAATGGGAAGCTGATATTTAACTCAGAATTTGATTTTCTTTTTCCAGTCACTATCCTGTTTGCCTGACCATTTCCTCTCTCTTTAAATGCAAGTAAACAGAAACCGGTAGAATACATTGACCAGCTCCCTCACCACCACCCTCTGAGGAGGACTAGAATTAAAGCCATTTACTTTCCACTGGCTCCATTCCTCTTCAAAGAAAAAGCACACATTTCATGATTAGCAGTTTTAAAAATGTCTTGGGCCTTTGGTAGAACAGAAAAAATGTCAAATAGGTTTGAATATAATGAAAGGGTGTGGGCAGAAATGTTGAATTTTTCTGAAAGGTCTGGCCAGAACAAGGTTACCAGGAAAATCATTCTATCCTGAATATAGGGTAAAGCTGGTTCGATTCACTCCAAAAATATTTCACGTTTAGATTTCCAAGGTTTCTTTCCTTTCCAGTAATCCCTGGTAGACACCAGGCCGTAGCTCTCTCTGATGGGGAAACTGAAATGGAATTGGAAGAACCAAGTCACTGCCACTCAGCGAGGGAAGTCGCTCTCTTCCAGAATTCGTCTGGCCGAAGTTCGAGGTTCTGCATCACCAGAAGAGAGAAGAGAACGCCTCCTCAGATAGAAATAGGTGAGGGTAGCCAATGGAATAAATAAGGGTAGACTCTGAAGGAAAAGTGAAAAACTAAGTGGAGAGGCAGTCCAATGAGACATATATCTGTGGAAGTATGAGTTTAGAAATGCCTTCCCATATACGTTAATATTAATAACAAATTAGCTAACTTATTACAAGTTCTAAGCATTTTGCATTCATCAGCTCATTTAATCCTTACTAAAACATAATGAAGCAGGAATAATTCTTTTTTTTTGAGACAGAGTCTCACTCTGTCGCCCAGGCTAGAGTGCAGTGGCACGATCTCAGCTCATTGCAAGCTCCACTTCCCGGGGTCAAACGATTCTCCCACTTCAGCCTCTGAAGTAGCTGGGACTACAGGTGCCCGCCACCACGCCCAGCTAATTTTTGTATTTTTAGTAGTGACGAGGTTTCACCATATTGGCCATGCTGGTCTCGAACTTCTGACCTTGTGATCCGCTCACGCTGGCCCCCCAAAGTGCTGGGATTACAGGCGTGAGCCACCATGCCCGGCCAAAGTTGGGATGATTCTTTCTTGCATTTAGCACAGTATAAACTGAGGCACAGAGCGTTTAAGTCCCGTGTCCAAGGTCATAGTGCTGTTTTGAATTCAAACCCCTCAGTTCCAAGCCTTTGCGAATCCCCATGCTAGGCCCGCTCCTAAACTGTTGTCTCTGCACCCTCAATCCTTCTGAGCTACCTTGCTCATAAGTAACATCTTAATATAAAAGAAGAGCAAATAGTGATAACATGCTGAATATATGTGAGGTTTTAAATGTTTCGATATTTTCTTCATTTTCACGAACTGGTGAGATGAGTCATTTATCATTCCTACTGTACATACTGCTACTTAGCCAAGGTCACATGGTGACTACCCAGCAGAGCTAGAGTTTGAATCCTGCATGGCCCCAGTTTTTGTTATTCTTCTCTTTTACTGAGTCTGGTGCATGGATCTTGGGAAACTGGAAAGGGTGTAAGCAAAGCTTGAAAGGTAAGAGCAATAGAGGGGTTTTGGGGTAGCTGTGGCTTGGAATCTTCTTTAGTTTACTGGCAGCAGCACGGAGGTCTATAAATGGGAAGGTATCAGAGAAGGTCCACCGAGAGAGGCAATCAGAATAAAATTCCTCGCCACCTACTTGTGCTCAAAGGAAAACATGAAGAAAAAGAAGGCCCTAGCAAGACCTGACTTACAGACAGTTACAATACAACATAATAAATGCTTTAATGCAGGCCCTAAAGAATGGTTAGGAAGACTGCAGAGAAGGAGTACTATAAAGGAGGTATATATTAAAGTGAAGTTCAGTGAGAGAGAAGAGAAAGAGCTGTTTCAGATAGGACATTCAGGGCAGAGAAGGTGGCTTTTTCACTAAGTATCAAATAATGAGAATATATTTTAAGACTAGGTCAAGTCAGGCAAGAGGCAGAGGATAATCCAGGCTGAGGAAATAGCATGAGCATGGTTACAGACAGGAATGAAAGGAACCCTGTCCCCTTCCAGTAACTGCAAGGAAAGCAGTGGGGCTGGGTGTGGAACCTATAGATGGGTAGCCAGAGATTAGGTAGCAGCGGTAGGCAGGGGCTAGATTAAAATGTTGAAGTGCATTAACCACCAAAGTCTTAGGCTTTATCCTCAATGGTAGGGGGTCAACAAGGGTTTAAATTAGGGAAATTACATGATCTGAAATGAGTTTAAAAAAATATTTGACTGCATTATGATGGGGAGTGAAATTAGAAGCAGGAAAAACCGCTTAAATGTGCAGTAGTCCAAGCAAGAAAACTTTGGAAACCGAACTGAAAGCAGCGGGAATAAATGGAGACTAATTTGAAATAAACTTTAAAGTTTATTGTCTATATTCCTTCACTTGAATAAACATTTAAAACCTATATGGTAAGCCAGGAATAATGCTAGGTATTTTAAGAATAATCAGACAAAGTCCCTGTTATCAAAATGCTTATATCCTTAAGAATTGAGTTACAAATTAAATACAAAGAATAATGGGATATTATTCCAGCGTTTAAGCTCTCTTCTTTAAATATGTCATTTGAAGTTTGATTTTGTCTGTCCTGCTAGCACTTGCTTCAACTTTGACACCATTAAGCAAGATTTAGGAATCTCCATAATAATATATATTCATTTTTATCCTAATACCATGATTTACTCTATTCTAATTATACCCCCTGACATTTTACTATTTATGCACAATAAATACCATCTTGCCTTTTATTTCTTTTCCTAATAAAGATAAAATTTTTACTAATCTCTGATACTAGGTAATAATGGCATAATGTGAGTTATGTCACTAGGCTTTTAATGATTGAATGTATATGAGATAAAACCTTCCCTAATGAGTTTACAAACAAAATTTGTCACCAAGCTTTCGAAAAAGAATACATCAAATTTTATATCATTATGTTGTTGTTTGTAATCTCACTGGTTATACTTACTTCATTAGATGAGGTTGAAGACTGAGCCAATCCATTTTCTGAAAATTCTGTGAGTTTGGTCACCAGGTACCTAGTAGGCTCTCAGTCAGGATCAATTTTAACCTCAAAAAGACATTTGGCAATGTCTGAAGGCATTTTGTGGTTGTCACACAAGGTTGAAAGAGTGCGACTGACACACCTTGTGGGTAGAGACCACGGATTCCGCTGCACACCCTGCGATGCACAGGGCAGGCCTCCCGACAAAGAATTATTGGAAGAAAATCTCCACAGGCTGAAGCTGAGGAACTCGGAGTAATCCTCAGCTTGTCTGATCACAAGGTGGTGATTCCTTTTTTATTTTTTTCAAGACGGAGTCTTGCTCTGTCACCCAGAGCACAACCTACCCTAAGCATTTCAGACCAACGAATAGAAGTGGGCAATTTGTTTTTTCTTTTTTCTTTTTTTTTGAGAAGGAGTCTCGCTCTGTCTCCCAGGCTGGACTGCAGTGGCGGGATCTCGGCTCACTGCAACCTCCACCTCCCGAGTTCAAGCAATTCTCCTGCCTCTGCCTCCTGAATAGCTGGGATGACAGGCACCCGCCACCACACCCAGCTAATTTTTGTATTTTTAGTAGAGACGGGGTTTCACCATAGTGGCCAGGCTGGTCTCGAACTCCTGACCTCATGACCTGCCCACCTCGGCCACCCAAAGTGCTGGGATTACAGGCGTGAGCCACCACACCTGGCAAGTGATTCCTGCAGCCATCATTTTATGTAAGTATAGTCAGAACAAATGCTGTTCTTTATTTTTTTATTTTTATTTTTTGAGACAGGTCTTGCTCTGTCACCCAGGCTGAAGTGCAGTGGTGAGATCATGACTCACTGCAGCCTCGAACTCTCGGGCTCAAGGAATCTTCCTGCCTCAGCCTCTGGAGTAGCTGGGACCACAGGGACTCACAACTGCACCTGGCTAATTTTTCTATCTTTTTGTGGAGACAGGAATCTGGCTGTGTTGCCTAAGCTGATATTAAACTCCTAGATTCAAGTGATCCTCTGTTCTCAGCCTCCCAAAATGCTTCAATTAAAGGCATGATCTAAAATGTTTTTCTTGACTGAAGCTCACAAGATGACCACAGAACATTTATTACCAACACACTCTGCAACAACAGCAATGCAAAATATCCTATTTATATT